AGGTTTGTAGATTCTGTCTCTTGTTTGATAAAAAGCAAGACAAGCGTGGGAATATTGGTCCAGAGTCAGAAATGAGAGACATGAGTTCCCCGTGTCTGTACTGAATTCTCCATTTTGGTCAAATCTTGTAGAGTGGTACATGGAGCTACAAGGTTGTCAACACCCACAGCTCCCCCCAGACCTTCACATTGCTAGTGACCTCCAGAGCCATTGATGAATGTGTCCCTCCGGTCACTGTCACTGGAGGCATGAGCGAGACCGAGGTGACCTACCCCCAGCCCCTCGTCATCTCTGCGCAGCTGTCCCAGGGTGCCTGGCCTGTCATCATTTTGCCGATCCCGTGCACCTGCCCCCAGTCCTGCCCCTCCTTATTTAAGCCGGGCTCATTCGCTACTCCCGGCTCTGCATTGGAAGACGGACGCCCGGCGGCCTGCCTACCATCAAGTCCGCGGCTTGAGGGCACAGGCCTCCTATCGGCGTCCTGACCCAGCTGAGTCCGGGGCTCAGAGCGCCTGGCCCCGTCATCCCATTTTTATTCCCTCTCACTGCACCGGATCCCGTTCCGGTTTTTAACTTTGTCTTGTTTGATTAGGACCTTGGACTTCGCCCTGGATTTCCCCCTGGACTCCTTGGACTTGTTCGCCCTGGCCACGCCCCCCGAGCACCAGTTCACCATCGTCACGCCCCCCTGTCTGTCAACCCCTCCTGATCCTCGTCGTCTCCTCCCCATCCTCCTTCTCCACTTACTTCTGGATTATACCGCCTACAAAGGGTTCAGAACTGTGCTTCGTGACAATGTTGTCGCTAACTGCTGCTGAAAAGCTGGTCAACACTTCTGTCTTTTGTCCTTTTGACTACTCTAATGTCCTACTTGCTAGGGTATCTAAATCTACAAGAGTGTAAGACAGCAGAAGGTGGTGACAACATGGTTCTTGTTCCCCAGAAGGATGTGGGAATTTACCAGCTGACTGACAGATGGTAAACCAGGAAGCAGTGGCTTGAAGGAGCTGCTGACCTCTGCTACACAGGAAATGAAAAGAGGCTCTGATTTGCCCATCACCAGTGGGAGAAGGGATACAAGGAACTTATGATCCCCTGGAAGTCTACTGTAAAATGACCAAATGATGCATAAATGTTTGTAAGCTTAGTATTCTCAAAGCATGAATGCTCAAACTGAATTGATCTAAGGCTAAGATAATAATAATAATAATAATAATAATAATAATAATAATAATAATAATAATAATTGCTTACACTTATATAGCGCTTTTCTGGACAGCCCACTCAAAGCGCTTTACAGGTATTGGGGATCCCCTCCACCACCACCAATGTGCAGCATCCACCTGGATGATGCGATGGCAGCCATAGTGCGCCAGAACGCTCACCACACATCAGCGATCAGTGAGGAGGAGAGCAGAGTAATAAAGCCAATTTATAGAGAAGATAAGTACTGTTAATGTCAAAACCTAAAGAGAAAAGGTGTTGAATGCTTAACTATTCAGATCTGTGCACTCAATATTTGGTAGAAGCACCTTTGACGGTATTTACCTTTGATCTATTGATGAAACAGCATCGAGCTACTGCTTCTATCATACTGGAGTATTACAGTAAGAGGAAAAGCAGAGGAAAACTTTGGTCTTATTGTTCCTTGCATGCAATAAACTCAGTTACGTCATCTCGGGTTCTAGAACTTATTTGTCTGTTACTACAAACAGAACAAGAAGTTTGTCGTTTGTGATCCTGTTCAGAAACGACCTACTAAAAATATTTGAACCTTCAGCTGCAACTTCAGCGTGAGTGCTAATAACACTGAAAGTTCTGTTATGAGTACAGTTCGTTTTCTGGAGTTTTCTCTGTCCATCTGGTTTGTCTGGAAGTCACCTTCTTATGAAATAATAGAAAATTATTTTGTTTTATTCAGCCAAAGAATGTGTCTTTGGTTTGGCAGCCCTTTCTCTAGAGTTCCTAAACTCAGATTGTGCTCCTCTTGTGTTTTGTGCTGTGGAAGTTCCTGGTAGAGTGACTCATTGTGCTGGATTTCAAGGGCTGGGAGACTTCCAAGCTTTATTGAAAAACAGGAGCAAGACAATTCTCAGCAACAGCACCAGCAGATTTGTAATTCCAGCCCTCAATGTCACACCCAGTACACCTAGAGGGCGCTCTACTTTCCTCCTGTTCCTAGTCCCCTGTGATTATTCTTGTCTTTCTGGTGTGTCTTGTTGTGTAGCCTATTTATTTCCTGCTTCTGCTCTGCTACTCGCTCAGCATTGATGTTTGGTTGTCCTGAGACCCACCTACTGTAGCACCAGGTCGCCCCATGTCCGCTACCTGAGGGCCTAGGTTTCTATACGGCATTTCTTGAACAGCTAAGCCTGGGCTTACCCCATCTCGCCACTACGCATAGGGTCTTTAACGCTCTCCTGCCATTCCATGGTTCGTCCTTTCCGACATCCGTGACACTCAATAGCAGTACTACTGTACATCTACACACTCCAAAGTATGCTATTTAACTACTTCTGCTACAGTATGTAGATTGCTTGCACACCAGTTGCTCCAGATGTGCTCTTTCGCTTCTTGGTGACACAAACATACCATTTAATTTTTTTTTCTATGTAAATCTGCAGTGCCAAGAAAATGTTTGTGGACCCTAAATATTAATATGGACAATTTCATGGTTTTACCCTGTTGAGAGGGTCTTTGTGAACTTTGTACTGTACATACCTTTTCTGCTGAAGCTGCAATATTTTATAAGATGGACATACAGAACTTGTTTAAACTGGATTGAAAAAATGCTGGACACAAGGACTACGATGTAATTCTATACTGCGTTAGATAGGAATGTGTGCTATGAACCTAAGTTACCAATCGTGTTATAGTAAGTTATTTTTGGCAAATAGGGAAGGTGGAGATGTGCGTGATTCTAGAACGCTGCCAATCTGATCAGCACAGGGAAGCATGGTACTGTAGATAACAGAAAATGTAAGGACTGTGCTAGTTTAATTACTTTGAGAGAAACATGCCAAGCATGTCTGTGTGTTTCGCTCCCCTGTGCATAAAATAAAAAATTCTTTAAACATCTGAGATGGACTCCTTGCTGTCTTTTAAGGGGAAGCAGGAAAAAATTCTCCAACAACCCTGCTACTCTTCCTGACTCAAAGCTAGCTTTCATGAAAATACCCCATAGAGTTTAGACTAACCAATTCCTTGCATCTTGAAAGAAAATGTTGGAAAAAGTGAAACAAACAGTGTGGAAGCAAGGACCGGGGATGGGGAAAAGCAAGTGTACCCTTAGTTTCATTGGCTCAGTTAAGGAAATAATTAAAATCAAGTGCTTACATTATTGGGTAGATGAATTTTGAAGGTGCCACCCCTATCAAGATTAGAACTGTTGTGGGTTTGGTTTCCACCATACAGTTGTGTGAAAGCAAGTCATGGCACTTGTTAGTTTAAGGAGAACGTTGAGCACCTCTTATTTTAAACCTTCTACTGCTCCAACTCCCTGCAGACCTGCTGCTCCAGATGTCCTCTTTCCTACTTTTGTGACACACCCTTACATACGAACCCTAATCATAGTTACAGCCATGAGAATGTGCTCTCCGAGTAATTAAACAATTAGGCAATTACTGAAGCTATTACACACCACCGTGGGAAACTACAGTATGTTGCCCCGAAACCTGTTTTATTGTTTCTGACTTATACAGTATCTTTGTAAATGCATTTCTCTTTTCATTTCAAATTTACTGTAATTCTTTCCCATACTGATCTGTTACTACTTGTACCAGACAGGCCTCACCCCACTAGGCGGGCCTATCAGCTCATGATTTTTCCCACTCACCAGTTACTCACACTCACGTTTTCACCTTTCACGGATGTCTTCACTTCCTGCTCACTTGTTCTCATTCTGCACAATACCTGATAGTCTGACACGCCGTATATACTGGCCAAAGTCCTTTTCTATCCTTGCAATTGATAGATGCCAGATGTTCACACAGCACTGGGGCAGGACCTCGGCTCAATGAGTCACTGTCCTGGAGCGTGTATATTGTTTGTTATGAGAAAAAAATGCCCACTATAGACTTGTGTCTCAATGTAACTGTGATCTACATTTATTAATGAGTGTGTTCATATGTAGCAATTATTAAAAATTGTAAAGAACTTACATCAAACAACAACAGTTGTACTTTCTGTGCACCCGGACAATGTTTAATCCATGCCAAAACATTCTTACAAAATACATGTGTAAAACATACTGTATCTGTCCAGACTTTTCACTGCTATTGTTTTGCTTCACAAATAATGGCATCATGTATTTGTGCTTTATCGTGATTCATCATACAGCAAATTGTAATTATCTTGGCACAGATACCTAGCAGAGAAAGCATCGATGAATCTGAGTTATTCTTCTGAAAAACAACAAAGTAACAAGAGAGGAATGAAAAGGCAGAGAAGCTTTTTTATAGACTAAGTGGCAAGGAGAGATTTGAAGAAAATTAGAAACATACTACAGCTAATCCACACCCACTAGGCATTTCTCTGTGTGTGTCTTTCAACAGTGTGGGATCACAGCACACACACAGCAAACCCTCGCTCTGAGCTCCAAAGAAATGTTGTCCTCTGTGCTGCTGCTGTGCTGGACGGTCTCTGTAACTCTGGGGTCTCCAGTCCAGCTGATTAATAATGGATACAGGGGGGTGGTCGTCGCCATCAACCCCCGTGTGCCTGAGAACCCAGCGCTCATTGAGAAGATCAAGGTAAGGTCCTCAGGACACAGAGAATTGCTGTTGCTTTACTAATATTAATTCAGATTTCATGTCTGCTACAGTTGCTAGTACGACTATCAGCATAGTGATCATTGGTTCCTCTAATACATTGGAGCAGTATGTAAGCTATGAATAGCTATATTTAAACTAGATTATTGTTGTTCTGAATATTTAAATTCTTTCTTTGTGCAGCATAACATAATGAAATTTAAAAACTTTGTTTTTTAAACAAGGCATTCTCCAAATGTAATAACACTTGCAGTAACAAAAGGTCAATTCTGTCATGATGAATGCAATTTTAAACTTTAGTTTATCTGGATAAATCGATAAGTACATAAATCATCATTTTTCACCTTGTAAATGATTTTGCAAAGAATATTAATTTGCGGTTGGTGTAGTTAGATGCATATGAGTTCTTTGTCCTCTGGCACAGCTTTGGTGAAAAGAGTAATAATTCTGTAATAATTCTGGCACGTTGGGCTAAACAAGAATTTCACATGGAATAACGCCATCCAAGAATCAGATGCTTTCTGATGTTTGGGTATTTAAATACAAAAGGTTTTGGCTTTACCGGATTGGTTAAGAGGGAGCCTCCCAGTTATAGGATGAGGAGGATGAGGAGGCTCCACCACCAAAAGAAACCAAAGGAAACAAGGGAACCCCAAAACCACCATGTAGAAACAGGGAAGAAAGGAACCTACAAGCACAGTATGGAAATGCAGAGAAGGTGCATGATTGGGGTGCAGATTGAACGCTGGACAGACTCGGGGCCAAAGAGGTGGCATCAGGAGCAGCAGGGCGAAATGCAGCAATGGAGGGGAGGAACGTGGAAACGTTAAAAGAGAAGACAGATATCATGCGTTACATATGATGTCTGAAGCAGGAGCTGAGAGGAGGGAGTCTGCGGCCAAACTGGATGCCCAGGACAGAGTAAACACCTGCTGTCTGAGCCAGAGGTGGGATGCAGGACAGACCCAAGGCCAATGAGATGATATAACTTTTCATTGGATTGCCTCATTTTGGGTTGTTATTATTTTATTTGTGCAGGTCCCATCCAGTACCAAAGGCTGGGCTGTGAGCTTGATAGAATGCTGGGGCCAGTGGCAAAGTAACAGATGAGCTAAACACACAATATATTGAAACTGCATTCCCAGAGAGCAGAGGAGAGACCGAGGAGAGAGCAGAAGTAAGACTACACGAAGAATGAATCAGATCAAACCCAGGCCTGAGTCCCAGTGAATCGAGATGGTGACAGGTAGTCAGCCTAATCAGCAGCAGGGAGAAGCCAGCTGGCAGTTCTTGAACATCAGCCCACGTAGAATAAGCCCCAGTTGAATTATCCTGTTTTTGTTTTGTAAACTATACAAGGTGTGGACCTTCAGATTCTGATTCAGATTTTGGCCTGAACAATTGTGAGAGTGGTTGGAAGTTGTGTTGTGCTAGATGTCAGGTGGGAAGTGAAGAGAGAGAGGGTCACAGGACACCCTCAGAGCAGGACACCAGATAGCCTCTGGTCTGGTTAAAAAAGCATTAAAAGCAACAAGTGAGATGAAACCAGGGTCCAAGAGATAGGAAGAGATTAGAAACCATAAAAAGATTAATCTGGGACCTGGGATGACACCAGACACAAGGGCAGTAGAAACAAGGAGTTGAAGGTTTGGAAGGCCAGTATCTGTCTGCAGGTTTTCATTCTAACTCATCTCAACTCAATCAGCTTAATGGAGCCAATGTAACAGCATTTCTCAGCTTTTATTAAGCCCTGTTACTGTATAAAGAGACATACAAAGCCCTGACCAGCCCTCCAGGACCAGGACTGGACAGCCCTGATGTGGACATGATGACTGGACCTCCAGGACCAGGACTGGACAGCACTGATGTGGACATGATGACTGGACCTCCAGGACCAGGACTGGACAGCCCTGATGTGGAAATGCTGATTAATCACCTCATTTGCCTTTCTCCTCAGGAAATGTTCACCGAGGCTTCCCTTTCTCTGTTCACGGCCACAAGGAAACGAGCTTTCTTCCAGGATGTGAGGATTTTAATTCCAAGAACATGGAAAGAAAACAATTCTCTCTACAGGAAACCAGGCACTGAGACTTATGTTAAGGTACAAAAACACTACTGGATTTTACGCTGTGCAACTGTATATATATATAGTATTTTATGTTATGTTTTTCTTTTAGTTACACATTCACATATTAGATAAGAGATTATGGACTGAAGTTGAGAGACAGGTAGATCTACAGTATATGTTCAATAAATATATGCAGTATACTGTATTTGTGTGAGGATGTGTGTAAGTGTGAGTGTAACTTGATTGCTTTAAATTCAGTTTCATTATACAAAATACCTGTATAAGGTTAAGATAAAACTCAATATTGCTAATAACCTGTTCATGACAGAATTCTATGTGCTGTTTTCAATATGGTCCCATTCTGATTTTACTGCATGGCAATTTAATACCACCAATCAGGACTAAACTACTACTACTAATAATAATAATAATAATCGGTTAATATAAACTTTCTGTTATATGGATTCCCATGCATGAATGGATGTAACACTCAAAGGCCTTTAGGTAATGCCGACCCCCTTTCCTCCAACACCCATGTGTAGCCCCACGATGGCAGCTCACCACGCACCAGTTATCAGTGTGTGAAACCAGACTACAGACTAAGGAGTTAAGAAGCTATCAGAGTAATGAGGCCAATTCATAAAAGGGGGAGTTTATTATTAGGTTTTTTGGTATCGGGAGGAAATTTGGCCATGACAGTGGGGTAACACCCCTAATATGTTTTAGAAATACCCTGGGATTACTGATGACCAAGGAGAGCTGGTACTTCAGTGTTATGGGGCATTAGGACCCACACAGATTGCAGGGTGAGCACCCCCTACTGGTCCCACTAACCTCCTCTTCCAGCAGCAACCTTAGTTTTCCCAGGAGGTCTGCCATCCAGCTACTGACCAGGCTCACACCTGCTGACTTACAGTGGGCTGCCAGTTGTTACCTGCAGGGTAATATAGCTGCTGGTGATATGAAGTAATAGTAAACACTTTCATCCCTTGATTGAATTATCTTTCAATAACAACATTACTACAGTATTAACATTAAAGTGCTCAATGTAAAAAAAAAAACAACTAAAACACATCACTTGTGGGACAAACATATTTTATTTTCTTATGATCTAATAAATACAGACTGTATGTTAGCATGAATGTGCACTGAAGGGCATAACAAAAATGAACTGTGAAGAATTAAACTGGTCTCAGGTGTTTAATACTGGCCAAGGCATTTTAACTACATGTGGGGACTGCAAATGAAGACGGTTACATATTTAAGCATTTTAGAAGAAATCACACCATCAGAATGGCTACAAATAATAGGATATATTCATCATGTCCAGTTAATTTGGTCCTATTTCTCTATAATTCCATAGGCAGTGGTTTTTCATTAGGACCAGCTCCTTAACGCTCCTTAACGTGTGATGCATTACTGGAAAGCTGATTACTCTATTTAAGAAAAACCCTTAAACCAATCCTGGTACCTTCAACATCTCCCATATAACCTTAACCCTCCACCCCCAGTCTAACCCAATACTCTTGAACCTCAAAGTTCTGCCTGTTCCAAATAACTTTAATTCTCAACCCTCAGCCTATCCCAGTTTCCCAAAATTCTCAACCCTCAGCCAGTGCCAGTACCATTAATTCCAGACCCCCAACTTATCCCAGTACCATCAATCCCCAGTCTATCCTGGCAGCATAGAGTAACTGCCTCCTGAATTGGACACCACTTCAGTCCACAGAGAAAGCTACACTCACACAGATACCACTGTTGTTACCCAAAGCTTTTCTGTTACAGGCAAGTGTGCTGGTTGCTGATCCATTCTGTGACAACAGCATCGGCACTCCATACACTTCCACTCTTGGTAACTGTGGTCAAGAAGGGGAACATATTCACCTGACCCCCGAATACCTGTTGAATGACCAGGCCATCGTCATGTACGGACCCAGAGGTGAGACTGCAGCCCTGCGCACCTTAGACACTCACTAATTATTCTGAGGTGAGCTTGTGTCCAGGTGTGCTGGAGTCCCAGACACCATGGTGGCCTGTTGGCAGGACTCTGGTAGAGTCCAGGCAGGGGGTGGAGCGACTGCAGGATAGTGAGGGCTCAGGAGTTTGAGTCCAGGGGCCTCCTGAGGGTGTTGCAGGGGGCTGCAGCCTGAATCTGAGATAGGAGAGCAGGCCAGAAAGTCAGATTGGCTATGTCAGCCTGTCTCAGGCAGTAGGTCATATACGTAGGTAGTGTGATGCCACAGGTGGCGTGGTCATCATGTGGGTCCTAGGGCACAGACACATCCATGATTTGAATTGTCTCTCAAGTCTTCCCTTTCTATCAAATATCGGAGTTTGCCGTAGTTAGATTCCTTTCTCTTGAGGCTCAGGTCTTCCTGTGGTCCGATTCCTCTCTCCACAATCTCTCTCAGCTCTCCTCTCCACAGTGTCCTTAATGCGGCAGCCTTCTTTCACTCTGCACATCTGCTAAGTTAGCAGACACTGCTGTTCCCTGTTCCAGCAATTGCTTCATCTTGACTGCTAGCATTCTCTCGTGGCCATCTTAGTATTTGCTTCTAGTTGTAGTTCTAGATGTTTCTGTCTGTCAAGTAACAGCCCCTAAGAGCTCAATGAGCAGAGATCTAGAAAGCTTCTTCTAGTTAAACAAATGATTCTTCCTGACAGGACCTGAATGATTGACAGGACATGAGAATTCAAGTTAAGAATCAGGCCATCAGGCTATTGTGAAATACATTTATCTTCACTTTTGTACAGTTGTATGCTTTGAACTTTATTTGTAGAATGTTTAAATGAGCAAACATACAGAAGAGTCTGCTCAACTATACTGTACACCAGTTGGCCAATCAAAATGTGTAATTAGAAACAATCACAGCACCCTATTCAATGAACTTATTGGTGAGACTCACTATAGCTA